TACCCTGATCAAAAGTCTCTGTCACCTCATCAAGAAATTTCAAAAGGTTAGTGAGGCATGAGCGCCCTTTCATAAATCCGTGTTGAGATTCTTTTATAATATCATTCTCCTTCAGAAAACAAACTATGTTATCCTTAACCCGCGCACCGACGGGGGGGGGCGGATATCCGCCCCCCTGAGGTTTTTCGCGAATAGCGGGAAAACCGCGGCGCGTAGCGCCGCGAAATTTGGTATGACTATTCCCTTATCAATTTTACACATGGTGTGCAAGTTTGAACCTCCTACCTTTCAAGGTCAGGTCACCAGGTCACTTTGAATGACCCAACCTCAAGTCACTTTTTTGCAACTTTGTCACCGTGCCAGAGCTACAGTAGATGTCGGAGGCCTTTGAAAGTCGCAGGATGTTATTAGGTCATTAGTAGCTACAATTTGTTTATCTCGGAATTTTGATATCGGTGACCTAAGGTCAGGTCAATTTTGCGACCTCCCCATTATAAGTCAATGGGGGAAAAATCAACTCCCTGTTTTTACCACTAAAACGGGTCGGAATGGCCCCATATACCATACATGACTTCATATACGATCAACCTTCACTACCTTGAGGTCTGTTTTGCTGTTGGGCAGCTGTGAGGTCATGTGACGTCATCAAAGGTCACCAAAGGTTTTTGGCCAATAACTCCGTACAGGAACAAGATACAGACGCGTGGATGGTCTCATTGTGTTCAGCTCGTCAAGACGCATCGAATGATATACATGATGACCTCGAGGTCACGTGACCTGAGGTCAACCTTTGACCTTGACCTTTCGAGGTCAACATATATATCATTCGATGCGGATTGACGAGAGGATCACGATGATGCCCTTAGTTTGTTCCTATCTTGACTAATTCGAAAGTTATTCGAGAAAAACTCTCTCCATATTTAGCGCCGCCATTTTGACTTTTTCGACCCCTGTGACGTCATCTTTGACCTGACCTGAAAATGACCTTAGTAAAAATTGTAGATCTTGACCGTGCGTATCCGATGCCGTTTACCGCTTGTCGCTATCTTGCTTCGTTCTCGAGATCTCAGGGGGGGGCGGTCATCCGCCCCCCCCCCCCGTCGGTACTAAGTTGGCGCAGACCCCCGTCGGTGCGCGGGTTAATAATCGATTCAAGTAGTTTACATACCAAGGAGGTAAGACTGACAGGTCTGTAGTTTTCAGCACAACTTTTATCGCCTTTCTTAAATATTGGGACTATATTTGCTTTTTTCCAATCAGTAGGAATGTCTGCATCGTTAAGGGATCTCGTAAATATTATAGATAATGGCATTGATAACTCTTGTTTACATTCCTTTAATACCTTTGCATATATTTCATCAGGCCCTTCAGATTTATTTGACTTAAGTCTCTCAATATACTGTTGAACCAAGCCACAACCTATCTCGCCTAAGTTTACAACCATTCCATCAGTAACCATCTGTGGTAGAAGTGACTCTATACCATCCGTGTCCTCAACGGTAAACACCGATTGAAACTGAGTACATACTTAGTAGTTCTGTCATTTCGCTGTCACTAGATACTACATTGTTGTTCGACTTCAGGGGTCCAACGCCTCGTGTGATATTATTTAATTTATAAAAGCTAAAGAATTGTTTGCTGTTTCCTTGACAGTTTCTTGCCAGATCCAACTCCTTTGCTCTTTTAGATGCTCTGACCTTCTTTTTGAGCAAATTTCTACACTTCTTGTAATTTATCCTATCTGATTCAAGAAAGGCACCCTTTTTCATGGCCCTAAAAGCAGCCTTCTTACATCTTATGGCATTTCTGACCTCAGGAGTAAGCCACGGAGGGTTCAATTTCCTTCTAGATCGTTTAGTTTTCGTTGGTATACATCTCGACTGAATGTCGAACAATACCGCTTTAAAGGCATTCCATGCTTGAGAAGCACTTAAATCTAAAAGCCTCTGATGCTAATTAACCTTCGATAGCTCATTTCGCATAATTCTAAAGTTCGCCTTATTAAAGTTTGGAACATTGGCTAGGTTATCCTTGGGTTTGACCTTTGACGGAATAAGAAAGTTAACCATATTATGGTCACTCTTGCCCAACCCTTCACCAACCTTAAGTTCTTTTACCATCTCCATGTTGTCAGAAAATACCAAATCCAAAATATAACCCTTTCTAGTTGGCTCGCTAACAAATTGATTCATGAAGAGTTCCTCCTCCAAGAGATTTCTATACATTTTGCATGCCTTTGTGACGTGTCCCCTGTTCTTTCTTCGTATTCCTTAAGGTTAAAATCTCCCATTATAAGACAATTTGTTTTGAAGTTTCGACGAATTTCCTCACATATCATGCCATCTACCTCCAGCTGTGGGATTTCCATAATATTACCGGGCCTATAGAAAACCCCAAGTCTTACATCGTCATTGATATCTTTCCCCAGTCTCACATCAATCCATATTGACTCTACCTGCTTTGCCTTCAATGCATCATCCACTTTAAGAGCACTATACAGACTATTAACGTAAATAAGGATCCCTCCCCCTGTTTAAATCGTCTACTATCTGCGACTTTTGAAGTGTTTTTCAATCTGAGGTACGGAAATCGTGTTCCCAAGAGACTGAAAGTAGCCATGCTTTACATTAGACCCAATGGCAAAAATTCGGAATTTGACGAAATAGGCCATTTTTACGTCTGATTTATGAAAATTCTAGACAGGATATGTAAAAACCCGAGATGCTATCAGGTGGGAAATTTCATTGTTTATTACCGCTTTTTGAAGTGTTTTTCGATCTGAGACCGGCAAATCGTGTTCCCAAGAGACTGAAAGTAACCCTGTTCTACAGCAAGACAATGGCAGAATTTTAATATTTGATGGAAGATATCTTAGGTGATAAAAACCTTACTAGTTACTACTAATTGCAATGCTTCATTGGAAAGCTCAACACTGGCACTATCATCGGTCTTTGCATTGCTATTTCACAGAACAACAAAAAATAACGTTTTGAAGCCTTTGAATATTGACTTACTTTTCATCGACGCGCTCGATCCCCATCACCACCAACAATTTTCCGGGAAGTCAGGATTTTGCAGATATTTAAGCCGAATTGCAGAGCTGTGTTAATACTTCGGCACTTAAATACACATTTTAAGAAAACTGCTTTTTTCTTAGCATCAGTTAGGTCTCAGAAACAGCAATATGTCAATATCATGAGGAAAAATAAGTGCAAATGATCGCGCAAGAGAGTATCCTTAGCTCCCTAGCAACCACCTAGCAACGTAAGGCAAAATAGTAAACAACTCCTGTTGATATCAGGTACTCAGCCTTGGAAGCACACTAGACGGTCAATATACTGGGCTTCATACTGAATTTTGCATACCAGAATGGATGTTTCCAACTGAAATTATTTTTTCGCGAAATTTATCTTTGTTGCCCTACTATTTTTTCGTAAAACCGAGACATACAGACTTCATGATATCAAAAATAATATTGTGATAATGAAAACCGCCATATAAAACAAGATAATTGCTGATATCATGCCTACTAAACTTAGTCCTACCCCCTAATTCAATATACCCTGGTTTCGGTTGGTTTCAGGTTCAGTCCAAGCTCAGTCTGGGTTTCGGTGGTTTGGCCAGGGGTCGAAAAAAGCGTGGAGTGATACAAAGTTTCAGATCCCAGCTTCTCATTTTGATACAAAAATTATTATATCTGCTTTTCTAATCGAACATATTGCTCTAAAGCTTACTATCCGTTATAGGTAAGTGTTTTTGATTGATATAAGGTCAAAAACCTACCATAGCTTAACCCTCGCCCGCACATGCCATTTTCCCATCCTAGAACGCACATGGGGGGGGGGTGGTTGCCACCCCCCCGCGCCATTTCGTTCCTGTTGGAGATAGAGCTTAGCGGTAATGACCAAAAAGATTCTTTGGGAAGAGACAAATCCAACGATACCCAGTTTTACCTTCTAAGGTCAGTCATTGACCTTCCAGGTCAGGTCAAACTAAAAAATGTTGCTGTTTTGGGTCACCGTTGGATATCAAGTGCGCTGCTTATCAAATGCCGATGACGATGGTGTTTTCTGGTGCCAAGCCAGCTAAAACCTCTTTGTCACACTACCCGACCAGAATTTTGCTGCTGAGGTCATTTCTGGTCAAGTTAGGTCAAGGTCAATTATATGTGTTTGTATGTCTGTGTGTGTCTGTGTATACTGATGTGTGCACCGACTGTTTTTGGGTCCATATCACATGAAATCATGATCTGAGAAGCTTTTACCAAAAATGCAGTCAAAAAACTTCACAAAAACAGTAAATTCCGCTTGCCTAAAACGCAATTAGCGTTAAGGTTGCTAAGTGAGTCCGGGCTAAGCTATTACGTTCGGTGTTTTGGCATTGGCTGGCCTCGACCCCTGACCCCTTCCTGGGCTCTTCTGAAAGACGCCCTAGAAAGAACAGAGGGAGACAAAAAAAAAAAGAAAAAAAGAAAAAAATCGCTGCGCGCACTCCGTCGCTCGGCGTCCTAACGGAAAAGGCCGCTTGGGCAGCGTTGCCGCGAGTCCAACATAAGTCGTATGTCGGACTTACTTACGTGCAGTTGTGGTGGCCGTTGTGGTTCCAGTGCCTGCGCCCACGCTGTAAGTTGCTAAAATACATTCATGGTAGAAATCAACGCTGTTACAATATATCGCCCACGTTCTAAATTCCATAAATTTGGGTCTATTGTGTGTGCGCGACGTCTGGTGGCACTAGGCGACCCGTAGTTCTCCCCGGCGCACCTAGGTGGCACTACCTGCCCCGTGATGAGGCACAACCTGGCGCTGGCGGAGGTGAGAGGTGACTAGGGATGGCGCAACATCCCGCTAATATAATTTGCACGGTTCCATCGTGAAATGACCATTAGCGTTAAGGTTGCTAAGTGAGTCCGGGCTAAGCTATTACGTTCGGTGTTTTGGCATTGGCTGGCCTCGACCCCTGACCCCTTCCTGGGCTCTTCTGAAAGACGCCAAAGTTGACCCAAATGTATTTCTATACTATGGCGCGGCACGCCTCCCAAACGGCCAGTCGGGGACCACGGACATACCGGAGGTACGATGAGCCGCGCCACCTGCCCGACACCTGGAGGACGCTCTCCGTCACACCTGCGGCGGCGGCGGCGGCGGCGGCGGTGGCGAAGCCTATGCGGAGGCTGTGGGTGGTGATTTTGCCAGTGTCGGTCAGCGCGGCGCGGCGGAGGACCCCGTTGAGCCAGCCCGGGGTGCAGTAGGCACCGGTGCTGCGGACGAAGACCGGCTGGTCGGGAGGCGCGGCGGGCCGGAGCGTGCGGTAGCGTCGCATGGCGCGGACGGGGCAGCATGGGCCGCCCAGCTTGGGGAGGCTGACCACCGTGCCGGTGTAGAGCTGGTCGGTCGTGGAGGCGGGCAGCTGCACCTCCAGCCGGTCCCTGTGGGTCGAGATGTGACGCCACTGACAGGTGCGCCGGTGGTGGTGGGAGTGCGCGGCCGGAGCGAGGTATTCGCTTCCGCGCAGAGCCCCGAAGAAACCCAGCAGCACTGCTGCCCATGCCGCGGCGCGATCATTGGCGGTCAGGTCGCCGCTCCGCAGGGACCGGCGGAGCGCCCGTAGGTGGCCAGGCGTGGCGGCCAGCCGCGGTAGCCGGGGAGGGCGGGGGCGCTTGGCGGCTCCGCGGATGGCCAGGCGAACCCGTTCCGTGCGGCCCGCCCACGCCGCCCCGTGCCGGATGTGCCACTGGCGCACCCCAGCCAGGTGCACGGTGATGGCGCCCGCGGAGTGGCCCCGGCGTGCCCCGTCGGCGACAAACCGCAGCACCGTGCTCTCTGTGGCCGGCTGGGGGCAGAGGCCGTGGCGGCGGCAAAAACGCCGGAACCGCCGCGTCCCGGCTGCGTAGGCGCGGCGGGTCGCCGGTGCCAGGCCGTCGTCGATGAGCTGCACGGCGAGCCGGTCTAGATGGCGAAGCCGGTCGCCACCGCGCACTGCTCGGTTGGGTTCGTCAGGTACTGACGGAGACGGCCTGGCACCGGCGTCGGCGTCGGGTGGGCGGCCGGCTGCAGCGTCCGGAAGCGGTCGATCTGCAGGCGGGAGAGAGCATCGGCGGTGTCGTTAGTGTAGCCGGCGACATGCTGCACTCGATAGAGAAAAGCGTGAGTGGCTGCGAGGAAGCTGATTTGTCGCAGGAGCGACATGATGCGGGCGTCACGGCTCCATCCTTTCGTACATGCGCCCACCACGCCACTATTGTCGCAGTGGAACGTGACGCGGCGGCCGCTCCAGGCCGCTCCCAACAGGTCGCAAGCAGCGAGGATGGGGATCAGTTCCATCCAGGACATGGTGTCTGCCCACGCGAGCGCTGCTGGCGGCCACGCCTCAGAGAACCAGTGTTCTCCACACATGCCGCCAAAGCCCACACGGGAGGCGTCCGTGTACAGGTGGAGGTGGGCCGGCGGCGTCCAGGACGGGTGGAGCAGGGGGGCGGTGCCGTTCCAGGACGGGAGGAGCGCGAGCCACCAGTCTAGGTCGCGCTTCGTGTCGCTGCTGAGTGTCACCCAGTGGTGGGGGCGTCGGACTGAGTGGGCGGTGTCTAGGAGCCGGCGGAAGAAACTGCGCCCCGCTGGGAGGCACTTTGTGGCGTGCACCAGCTTGCCGATGAGGCTTAGGAGGTCCCGTTGACGCAGTTTCCTGGCGCCTCTGGCAGCCCGCAGGCCCGCGATGATGTCGCGGACCTTTCGGTCGGGCAGGGAGATGGTGAGGCTGACGGTGTCGAGAACGCAGCCGAGCAACTCCATACGAGTGCTGGGGGCCTGGCACTTGTCAGGGGCTGTCGGGACACCACATGTCTCGCAGAGCGACAGGAATGTTTGGTAGGCGGCGTCACAGAGCGGCGAAGAGGCTGAGGAAAAGAAGAAGAAGTCGTCCAGGTAGTTGTAGACGTGTGGGTTGTAGGAGTGGGACGCGGCCGCGTCGCGGAGCACCTGCGCGAGGTCGTTGAAAATAGCGCAAGCGGAGCGGAGCCCGAATGGTAGCCGCATGTCGAAGTAAAACTGGTCTTCCCAGCGGAACCCCAGGAGCCACCACTGTTCGGGCATGACTGGTATCAGGCGGAAGGCATGCTTCAGGTCGGCCTTGGCCATGAGCGCGCCGTCCGGACCGACCTCGAATAGGGCGGCGATGGCCTGGTCCATGGTGACGTACTGCAGGGAGAATTGGTCAGCGTCAATGTGGTCATTGACGCTGTCACCGTCAGGCTGAGAGAGGTCAAGGATGATGCGGACAGACCCGTCCGGTTTGGCACGGGCTCCGAGGGGGTTACATCGGAAGGGGGTGAACGGGGGTTGGGCGAAGGGGCCAGCGGTATGGCCCCGTTCGACCTCGAGGCGGAGAGCGGCGGAAAGTGCGCCTGAGTGGGTGAAAGCTGACCGGTTATTCGGTCTGTGCGAGCTAACCATAGGTCCCGCGTAACCTGTGTCGGCTCCGTGTAGTAGCCTGTCGGCTACGGTTTGTAGTAGCGCAGGGTCGGTGGTGGGGGAGGCAAGTTGGAGGAGGCGGTGCGCCAGTACCGGGGTGAACAGCGGGGGAAGGGTGGGTAGGGGCGCCCTCACCGCGTGAGTCTTGCCGGGAAGATCTAGAAGCGGCCCGCGTACGGCGCGCTGCCGAGCGGGCGCGGGGCGTTTCCCGGCTGCAGGCGACAGGTGCGGGCCTGGTGCTGACCTCCGCACTCCAAGCAGATGTGGGCCCGGCGGCAGAGCGTGCCGTTCGAACACCGTCCGGCGTTCCAACGCAGGCAGGTTTCCGGCCGGCCGACGCGCGGGAGCTGGCGGCCCGCGCCTCCCATGGCAGCCAGGGGGCGACTGGGCGGCGGCGGCGGCGGCGCACGGGGAGCCGCTGAGGCGAGTAGGGCCTGGGCGGCCTCGGTGAGCTCCGTCGGACAGTGATATTCCTCCGGGTACTGGGCCAGGTGTGTGCGGCCCTGGCCGTCGAGGGCGCGGACGGCCGAGAGGCAGAGGCCGGTGGCGTGGCCCTGGAGCCAGACCGAGTACATGGTCCATTGGACCGCCAGTTGGGGGAAGAAATAGCAGCGGTAGGCCGCCACTATTCCTACCCCCCGTAAGTATTCGCCGACGCTTCCGGCGCGCTGGGTTGGGCCGTCCGCGCTCGAACGCCCCCCGAAGGGCCGGGGGTATAGGACGTCATCCACGTCCACCACCTTTCTGCGGTTGCGCAACCGCCTGAGAGTGTCTGGGGCCACTGTGGGCAGCTTCAGCCGGCGGGGCGGCGGCGGCTGGGTGGAATTGGTCGGGGCGTGGCGCAAGTGGAGAAAGTCCACCGCGTCGCCCGCGGTCGTTCGCTGAGCCGGCCGCTGCTTCCGGCTCCGTTTTGGCAGCGGCGGCGCCGGTGAGCTGGAGCCCGACGTAGAAGGCGACGACGGGAGCGACGCCGTGGTTGAATCGTCGCTGTCCGGGGGCGGGCTGCCGCGCGCCGAGCCCTCCGGTGTAGGTGGAGGGGGTGCGGCGGGGGCGGCGGGCGAAGTCGCCGCGGCCGGTGGGGCCGGACGGCGAGCACCTGTGAATGACACGCGCAAGGTGTGATGTGTGTGGCTGCTTCCGCCAGGGCACGTGTGACGCGGCGATGGCCGTGTAGCGCTGACCCGATTGAGGTGGAGGGGCGACTGTGGGGGGTAGATAGTGGTAGTATAGTAGTATAGATAATAGTATGATAATACTGTAGAGTGATATAAACTAGAGGTGAATAGTAACGGTGATAGTAAATTGGCTGGCAGTGGTGACAGGGTGCTATACGAAGCTTAGCCAGTGTACACATGTAGTATATTGAGCGGAACTCAGCGATCTGATGTATTTAGTCGCGTTCGGCAACAGTCCTGACTCTCAACTTGTTGAGAAGAAGGATAACGAATCAGTAAGATAGTAGGTAAAGCTCGGACATGACCTGAGGGTTTGTGGTTCGTGAAAGCAGAATATGCACCCCCACGCGACCATTACAAGCTGGCATGCATCCAACCTGAGGTTAGGGAAACATAAACGCTGCCACTGCATGAGAAGTACTGGTGTCCTCAGAAATTATACGTCATGGCGCTGTTCAGTGCTCTAGAAGGAGCTGCTGGGACAGGGCCAGCGGGGACATGTCATTAGTGGCGACGTAATGACATGGTAGTTGACAGTGAGTTGTATGCTGGGGCAAGCCAACGGACATGCCATTAGCCCGCGCCCTGGTGGGGGGGGGCTATTTTTTGCCCCCCCTCCAGACTTTTCGATATATCTCCAGAACCGCTTCGCCGATCGTCACCAAACTTTCAGTACCCTCCCGGACATCAATTTTACACATTGTGACCAAAAATTTATCCAAAGGCTATGATAGGTTGGCCGGAAATGACGTCAGAGTGACGTCATGTTCTGCCGTTTTCGACCCAAAAAAGGGTTTCGCGGGAAGAGCTGTCAGGCCTATAGCTTTGCAAATACAGAAAAACGATAAAGACATAAAAGCTGTAGAATTGACAGGGCTACAAAACTGCTATCTCGGAATTTTGAAATTTTTGGATTTTGACCCCCAAAAATCAAAAAATAGATTTTTTGATTATAATAGCCGAAAAATCCAAAAAGTTTTTTTAAGTTCGAAAAAACCGGAATATATGTGATAGTCCTTACCGCCTTCTATCTACATACCAAATTTGAGATCGATACCTCTTTTTTTGGCCAAGTTACAGCGAAAAAAACTGTTCAAAATTGATGACGTCAAATTTTCAAACTCATTTTTTTGCAATTCTAGACCTCGTAGCGCAAAACAAAGACCACCATTAGACTCCCCGTGATGAGCTGCATCGAATCAATACCCATTTTATGCAAAAATATCAACTTTGAAATTTGACCTTTTTTGACCTGACCTTGACCTGACCTCCACCAGAAAGTGGCCTAAGCCGTACCTGATAGTCTTATAACCAACACCATTGAGTTGGAAATGAAAATTGGCCATAAAACATGCATCGCACAACCCTAGTACCTAAAGTTAGGTTCATGTGACCTGACCTGTGACCCTTGGTGACCTGACCTGTGACCTGGTAATGTCAGTGACCTCTTATAGCAATATATGTACTAGGCAACTGACGCCCTATCGCTGATTCTCGACAAAATGCGTTTTCTTCGGTGTTATAGCGCATTCCCTAGATGACCCGTGAACGGTGAAACATTTCATCTTTGACCTGACCTGTGACGTCATCGGTGACCCCGAGGTCAATGAAATTTGGTTTCCTTCGACAAATTTGACAGGCCTTTCGAACGCCGTTTGAATTTTGCGGATCCGCCCAGTAGTTTCGGAGATACGAGGGGGGGCAAAAAATAGCCCCCCCCACCAGGTCGCGTTATAAACAGACCCCACCAGGGCGCGGGTTAGTAGCGACGTAATGGCGTGGTAGTTGACAGTGAGTTGTATGCTGGGGCAAGCCAGCGGACATGTCATTAGTAGCGACGTATTGACATGGTAGTTGACATTGAGTTATGTGCTGGGGGCAGGGGCCAGCTAACATGTCATGGTAGGGACATAGTGACATGGTAGTTGACAGTGAGTTGTATGCTGGGGCAAGCCAGCGGACGTGTCATTAGTAGCGACGTAATGACATGGTAGTTGACAGTGAGTTGTGTGCTGTGGCAAGCCAGCAGACATGTCATTAGTAGCGACGTAATGACATGGTAGTTGACAGCGAGTAGTGTGCTGGGGCAGGCCAGCGGACGTGTCATTAGTAGCGACGTAATGACATGGTAGTTGACAGTGAGTTGTATGCTGTGGCAAGCCAGCAGACATGTCATTAGTAGCGACGTAATGACATGGTAGTTGACAGCGAGTTGCGTGCTGGGGCAGGCCAGCGGACATACTAGACCGTCCTTCGCGCCGGGGGGGAGGGGGGCGGCCCGGTGAGGGTGACTCATCCGGCTGACGTCAGCTGCCCATGACCATGGCCGAGACGCAGTCGGACTGCCGTTGAGCAGGGGTGTCGCCTTGCACCGGTCTGCAGTGGGCCGACGGGGGTCAGGTCACTGCTGGCAAAGTGCCATGCTGGCAAAGTGCCACTCTGTGGCTAAGCTGCATACTCGTATCGCAAAGCACCCCCACAAACAAAGCAAAATCATCATAGCAGCTTGTTAACCAAGGTATCAAACAGAAAAAGCACCCCTGGGATTTTGACAAATCTCCACCCCTGGGTATGGCCGGCTTTGTCTGGCATGCCCTCGGGATGGCGTGCCAGTGTGCAGTTAAGGCATTGTGTAGTGCGAACCTATGACACTGGTGCATGTGACCGAGCAAGTTTTGTTAAGGTGGCGCTGGCATGGCATGACATGCCAGTGGGCAGGGCATTGTTCAGGGCCAAGCTACAATGCTGGCGTATGTGACCGCCCAGAGGGCCATCTGAGTAACTGAGACAGGCGGCCACATTAGTATGGCGGCCACATTAATATGGGGCGAAGGGTAGTAACAGAACAAATGTGCCAACTGCCAGTATTCAAGCAACTTGGCAGACTAATTTGTTAACGAAATGAGACCGCCGGTTAGAGGGGCGCGCCATGATTGTCTCGTGCGAAGGGCCCGCGCGTAACTAACAGGCCGGATAGCTGGTAACTCACCGGTGTTCCGTCTGGGTCGTCCCATGGTGGCGGTAGCCGCCGCTAATAGCTATCACTTCTCCGCGGGTTTCAACCGGTAAGTAAAAAAAGAAAAAAAAATCGCTGCGCGCACTCCGTCGCTCGGCGTCCTAACGGAAAAGGCCGCTTGGGCAGCGTTGCCGCGAGTCCAACATAAGTCGTATGTCGGACTTACTTACGTGCAGTTGTGGTGGCCGTTGTGGTTCCAGTGCCTGCGCCCACGCTGTAAGTTGCTAAAATACATTCATGGTAGAAATCAACGCTGTTACAATATATCGCCCACGTTCTAAATTCCATAAATTTGGGTCTATTGTGTGTGCGCGACGTCTGGTGGCACTAGGCGACCCGTAGTTCTCCCCGGCGCACCTAGGTGGCACTACCTGCCCCGTGATGAGGCACAACCTGGCGCTGGCGGAGGTGAGAGGTGACTAGGGATGGCGCAACATCCCGCTAATATAATTTGCACGGTTCCATCGTGAAATGACCATTATCTTAGATGACCTAGGTTGACCTTGACCCTGACCTTGACCCCTGTACATCGTCGAACAACATGTTCCATGATAGGTGGGAGGAAATACTGGCAAAAAAGGCCGAAATCAGGGTGTCAAAAGCTCACAAGGCCCATGGCAAACGCAAGATGTTGAGAATTGGCCATTTGGGTCATGATATGACCTGAAAAACAAGGTCATATCTCCGAAACCAAAAGTCACAGAAACTTCAAATTTTCAGTGGACATCAAGAAAGGATAGAAGAGCAGCTATACGAAAAATCAGCCCTCTAGCTCTAAAAATGTTGAGTGCAGAGCAGAAAGACTACCTGCGGGCGAGGGTTAATGCTTCAGCACCTAAAATTGTCCTTTTCGTCGTCGTCAAGTTCCACTGAGAGTCGGCAGCGACACGCTGTTTTATTGGGGGTCATAGGGCCGCTTCCGTGGGAGCCAAGGGACGGCGAGCGCATCTGGAACACGTTACCGGCACCAGGCACGGCCAAGGACAGTTACTTTCGATCGGAGACGAGGCTGGGTGGAAACTGGGTGGGAGATGACTCCCTGCGTAGATTTGGAGAAAATGTGCAGAGAAACAGCAATGACGTTATCAAAACCAAGGACAGTGAGACACATCATTGGATAAACATTGCAACTACATCATTGCTTTGCAACTACATCCACTTGTATGCAACGGCTGTATGCGAAAACTGGACAGAATTATTACATGACGTACGAGAAATTGACAGTCTCCACTCGCAAAATAAATGACATGCACACATCATTTTCGATGCAAACAATAACGCAAAGGAATACATCCTTTCATGAACTCATGTGTCATTGGGCGGGTAGATCCTCGATAAAATTGATTAGATTGACAGAGATCGGTAGATTGGACCGATCCTATAGGTACATTTACGAAGTCAAAAAATATAAAATAAAGGTAACACTCACTCATTGGACTGATTCCCTCAGCTCGCTATGGCGCGCTTCTGCCCGTCCGAAATAGGAAATGTTCACCACAAGCCTGATCATAGCGCTCACTGCTGCCATTGGAGTCTGAAGTAGGTCGCCGCGGGGTATTTTAGAGGTGAAACCATATTTTTACCGTTACGGTGTTAAGGATTAAATACATACATTGCAAATTAGAAACGGGATTTTTGATAATGCTCACCACACAAAAATTTTCAAATTCAACACATAAAGTGGTGAAAATATTAGAAACTTTTTATCGTTAACGTTTAAAGAATGTGATACAAAATAAAAAGGCCGATTTTCCTTTACTAATGAACATATTTAAGGACGATAAATAAAATAGATGTCAGATTCTTCAAACCGAGGAATACACAGGCCTAACTAAGGTTATGTATCATCTTGTATCCATGTATCGGTTTCCGTTTGTGCCGGAATAGTGATGGACCGGCGGGAAAACAGTCAGCTGCTGGCAGGGTCTTTGGGTCCCGCCATCTATCGACCAGCCGGAACACCGCTGGTTGGTTCTATCCTACCGCCCCCGGCTACCAAACGAATCGTCGGCAGCGACGCAGGACGCAGTGGCGCGTCGAGGTGCGTCGTGGGCGGGCGCGCTGGGCCTCTTCTCGCATGCCGCTGGACTACTATCCACTTTGATACATTTGCACCCCCGAAACAGACCTGATTTGCAACAACCGCTGGGTCGTATGTTCGATACATTTTCGACCCCTGGGTTTGGCCCGGGTTGTGACCTCAGTCAGAGGTCGACAAAATCTCTGACCATCTGACCGTAGTCAGAGAAAAATAAGCGAGCGAAAAGCACAAAAAGAAGAAAATATCACGGAGGACATTCTAAAATTAGCAAAGCCAACATTGTTACATTCATGCACCTATGCCATAGACCAGCAAGTAGCAACAGCACGAATAACAATTTAGTGACCACAGTTTATACCATTTCTCCACTTTCTCCCGAGTCAGAGCTGGTCTGATCCGGTCAGAAGCAGCCCCGTGCCTATAAGGTTTGTTTCCCTACCAATTCATAACCAAACATCGCTCTTATTGGCAGTCGGAGAAAGTGTTGTTTTTGTGGAGCCCGTTGATTTCTTCGGCTGCCAAAATCTTGAGACCTGAGAAATAAAAGTTGATAATTATCCATAATAGTCGCTATTTCTTGCGATGTTTTTCGTATATCTGAAGGATTCTCTTCAAATACGAAGAAAAGTTTCAAGAACGGGAGATTTCATGATTTGGGAGCAATTGAAAGCGCCATCTTTGGGCGGCTAGGGCGGCACGCTGTGCGTGTGCTGGCTGCTGCCCGTGGGAGACGGGCGTCTAACTGTAGACGATCCACCACAAGGGATTTCTGGCTATTCGGGCGCCATCTATTAACCCTCGCCCATGTAGGGGGGGGGTTGGTGCAACCCCCCCCCCTGAGGTTTTTCTTAGCTACACGCCGAACCGTTTCAGATAGCCTGCTCAAATTTTCAGTACCCTCTGGGGCATCCTTTGCGCAACTTTTGGTATTTTCTTTTTTTCAAGGTCATGTCAGGTCACGGAGTTATGACGTCATAAAGGGAACAACCTCCGGCCAGATTTACGCTAAATTGGAGATTGCTTCACATTGGTATACATGCCGACTGACCTGACACACTGATGGATTGTTTTAGAATCACAACTGGCTGATTTGACATTGGCACAATGTCCGTTGACATTTTGAAGGTTACTAAAGGTCAAGGTAAGGTCAGTGACCTCGGTTGACCTGTAATTACTTCTTGCACTTGTATGCCTTTTCGGGGTATTTTGATGCCCTGAATTCGAATTTGCTATCCATTTCAGGCATCGTCGGTTGTTTCTTGTAGTTCATTTTGGGTCAGAGTCAGGTCAGTGACGTCACACGCCTGACGTGACCCAATGCTACAGTGACTACAATGACTTCTGATGCTCCCAATGCATCATTTTTAGAGTTATGACATCGAAATACACACCAAACGATAGAGAATTGATCAAGGATCACGATAGTGAAGGTTTCAAGTCGATATCTCTTACCGTTTTACCGCAATCGGCGCGGAAATCTGAAAAGTTAGATTTTTCCGAAAATTTGACCTTTGACCGGTCATAAGTAGGTCAAATGTTGACCTAGGACCAAAAAATATACCACCAATCGCGAGATCTCGTTGAGAGCAATCCGTTGGTTTTTTTCCGCTAAGCTCTACGACGCTCCGTTTTCAAACGCCAGGGGGGGTCGCACCAACCCCCCCCCCCTGCATGGGCGAAGGTGGCAAAACACCGTTTACGGGCGAGGGTTAACCCTCGCACGACCAGGCCATTTCTCATAACACGAACGACCAGGGGGGGGGGGTTGTTACAACCCCCCCCCTGGCGTTTCGAAACGGAAGGTCGTAGAGCTTAGCGGAAAAAAACAACGGATTGCTCTCAACGAGATCTCGCAATTGGTGGTATATTTTTTGGTCCTAGGTCAACATTTGACCTACTTTTGACCGGTCAAAGGTCAAATTTTCGGAAAAATAGACTTTTTTCAACTTTCGGCGGCGATTGCGGCAAAACGGTGGGAGATATCGACTTGAAACCTTCACTATCGTGTTCCTTGATCAATTCTCTATCGTTTGGTATGTATTTCGTTTCCCTAGCTCTAAAAATGGCGCGTTGGGAGCGCCGGAAGTCGGTAAGGTCACAGTCGGCGGCAGAAATTCGAAAAATCAAAATTTAAATTTTTGAAATCTGATTGTATTTTTGGATTTGGGAGGTCCATTTTCTCCCTATAGAAGCTAATATTGCTGCATATTCCCATTGAGGTGACAAGAATTAGCAAAATAGTGGTTCGGGCGCTTTTCAAAAATAGTACCGGACGCTGTTCCTCTTGTGACGTCATAGCTCCGTGACCTGACCTGACCCGGTCAAATTTCTTATACCATATGATAGCCAATACTTGCCCCAACATGCATGGGAAGTTTCATCACGATCCATCAACCGATGTCCGTACCACCGGCAGGAAACCTCGGGCGTTGGCACTCAGTTTGTGAAAATCCGGCCGGAGGCTGTACCTCTTATGACGTCATAACTCCGTGACCTGACATGACCCGATCAATTTTTTTTTCGGCAAAAGATGCGCAAAGGTTGCCCCAGAGGGTATTGAAAATTTCAGCCCGCTACGACAAGCCGTTTAGCGTGCACTTCGAAAAAACCTCAGGGGAGGGGGTTGATACAACCCCCCCCCCCCCTAGGCGTTCTAGGGTTAAACTCTCCCAGCGTTTGCGATGCGTGCGTGGTGTGCCGGCGGCGGCGGCGGGCACTGCTGTTCACGGACACCGCACACTGCTGAGTGCGGTGTGTGCGGTGTGTCCAGCAGGCGTGGGGGTAGTGGATGGGTAGGCGGTTCTGACGTCACGGCTGCGTGCGGTGGACGGTCCGCTGTGGCCAGTCCCGACCGGCCACAGCGGTCGCTGTGTGCGGTGACCGGAAGGCTGACGTAGGGACGCAGTGGGCGGAGCTGCGGTCCGACCGCACACAGGGCCCGTGAACGGTGCGGCGTCAAGGCCCGTGCGGCGTTGGCGCGGTTTGTGGGGTTGGAGTGGGGCCATCGATGTCATATGCCCATAGGCGGCGGAACGGGGGGCGGAGCCGGGTTCGGTG